CACACACACACACACACACACACACACACACACACACACACAGTTTTCTTACAAATCACAGATAATAGAAAACTTTTATTTAGAGCTAAATTACACACATATAAACGCACAAAGAAAAGCATAAACCTGTTTGAAAAAAGTAGCCCTGATCCTGCTGCATTTTCTTGTAGTCCCTGTGTGCCAGCACTGCTCTGTGCAGGTAACCAAATACCTTACAAATAAAAACATGTGTTTTTGTAATCCAGTCTCTTTGTTTTCGAACTTCAGCTTTCACCGCAGCCAGACTTAACAATATGATCCTCATATGTTGGTGAGGTTAAACAGATCAGGTTGGCTTCACTCCTGCTGATCTGCCAGATCATTCTGTTCAAAGTACCTGCAGTAAAAATAAAAGGAAGTAAGTATAGCTGCATCCTCTGTACACATCCAGACAGCAATATCATGGTATCATCACCCTGAACAATTTAGACACTGGTGGTAAAAAAAAAACAAAAAAACATTTAGGGGTTTTTCTCTACACAGAGTTCCATATAAGAAAAATACAGAGAACCTTACCTGGCAACAAGACAGATGAGCAGGTTGAGGGCGGGTAGTTTATCATCTTCCTGGCTGTCCTGTGAAGTCATGCAAGGAGGGAAAAGACTCAGAGTAAATAAAATCAAATATCATCAAATTTCAACAAAAAACGAGAAAAACATGGCCTGCTGTGGCCGTTTCAAGCATGGAGTGATAGCACATAGAGATAGTGCTTTACAGGAGATGGTAGGATTGTGGCCTACCAGCGTGCTGCGGAGCTGGGCGCATCTCCGTGCAAGCTGTCTGATGGATGAGTGAGCTTCGGGCAACAGAGGCTTTTCCAAGCAGGCCAATAAAGCATACAACCAGCGCCCCTGGAACAAGAAGATAGACTGCAAACTCAAGTATTTCACAATAACTGCAGCCAATAAACCATCACCTTCTATATCTGAAACATAAGACAGAAGCTGAAGGAATGTTTGGTTTCATGATATCTGTGCGGAATGCATAGTCAGCTCATATCTATCTTGAATGCAACACAGGATGACTATAAATGCGTGTGGAGTTCGGAATCAGCATAAAAATGTGGCGCTAATACATCAAACTCACCAACTGTGGAACAAATTCTCGTTCCTCGAACCAGCCGATGAGGATTTCCAACACCATCAGCACTGTAGACTGTAGACAGGTGGGAAAACGCAAACACACACATCTTCTAATCAGGCTTTGACTGGTTTAGAACATCTTGAATGTCTATAGAGGGATCATTTACCTGATTTAGCCTGCTGATGATGCTTAGGAAGGGAGGGAACCCCATCTGAACAGACAGAGAAATGCTGAGGTAAATAGAGCAGTACACATTTTGGATCTGAAAAGTAATGCCGATGCTGAAGTGCTTTCACTCTAAATAAAAACACTTCCGTTTACATAGAAATCTGTGGGAAAATGGCCCACAACTCCCTGATGACTCAGTCACTAGTTTCAGCTCACACTGAATACAACATGAAGTGATTTTTTTTAAAGTTATCGGCATTATTAGGAAGATTTTCAATCACAGGTTGTTACTTGTAAGTGTGTGGTTTCAGGTCCAGTTTCAGTGCTCATTTGGAGGCTTTGTGACAAAACCTCATTAACCAATAGGTGATAGATGTGACCGACAGCTTCTTTACTGTCAAAAAATCTTACAGATTGTATTCATGATGACACAAAACATTGAGATATAGCCATTACATATATAACCTTGCTATAGTCCAGTGCTGGCTCTGGTTCTGCATCTGTGTGGGAGGATGAAGTGCCCAGATAGACCTTCTCTCCTAAACAAAACCTCTTCCAACCCTCCTCATCCGTTACCTTCGGCTGTAACATACAAATACGAGCATACATAAAATTTTAACATGAATTCTGTTTTTAAGTTTGCCTCTTGGAGAAAGACAAAGTATTTATTTGGTTATTAGAGGAAAGCATTGCATGCTGAAGCATTAAAATTTACACATTACCACATTACCATCAGCACGTTGTCATCTAGAGTTTGGCTGGTCCAGTGTTTCCTGTGCCTTGTGATACTCTAAAGGAAAAAAAATGTTGTAAATGTAAACAAAAGTTCATAAATTGTAAAACATCCATTTGTACAAATTTGTGCGGATTTAGACCTACAAAAAGTTTTAGTGAATTCTGTTAGGCTGTGCTATTGTATAATATCATAACAGCAAAAAGGCTCTTACCTGTCTGACTTCAGAGAAATTGCTGACTTGTTGTTGTTGCCATCTTAGACTTGGGGAGAAACCCACTGGAGCAGCATGACACCCTGCCACCTAAAAACCAGAAAACAACCCCACAAAAAATGTAACTGAGAAATAATCAGAACAGATGAAGCATTATTGAAATGTATTTTGTTTTATTTTATATAGCATCTTCTTTTCTTTGCTAAATGAACTTCTGTATACTGTTTACATGATCAACGTAAAAATCGAACACAGCACAACATTTTTCAGAGCCTATCATTCATTTCTAACTGTGCAGTGAAAACTATGAAAGAAAGATTCGTACAGATGTGCTCAGAAGTTTCCATCCACTCATCGTGGGTATGAATGTTTTGACCCTTTGTGGATTACAGAAAATCAAAAGTAAATTAAAACTTGTGCACCCAGTTCTTGTTTTTCAAGGTTATTGAAGTGAATGCTTTAAAATCATTCCATCCTGAAAAAAAATGAAAAATTCAAAGAAATCATTTAAAAGCCCAACATTATGAGGACATTCACACCCATGATGAGTGGGACTGACTGCTCACATCAAGGTAAAAATACTTGAAATACTTTGATTTGCAGACACCACAGAGTAACAAAGCTAATGAACCCTGTCACTATCAGGGTCAGGGCTTTGTCATTTCCTTTAATTTGTCATACATCTGCAGCATCAACCAGTCTCAATACATTTGCCTCTCAGTTTACTCACAGATGCATTCACTGTTTGCTTCTTCCTTAGTTTTTTGGGGTCGATCTGAGCGACCACCACCTCTGGGCACAATGAAGCCTCCAGCCTGTCCAAAAGGAAAAAAGTTCATTGAAGCAGCCCGACCACCTCAACTAATACATTAACACACCAAAGAGAAAACAGGCAAAGAGAATCTAGGAGTTAATTAGACGCGAGCATTAATAAGAGGTGTGTTCTTCAGGTTGCGATGCACTTACTGGACCTGTCGGAGGTACTCCTGGGGGTTTCTCGGCGGTCCGCTCAGGTCCAGGTCGCCCACGGTACCGGATCCACACTCCACGGGCAGCAGTCTCGGCATTAACTCCTCCACGTCTGACTTCATTGTGACTGAATGTGTAAGCTCGGCTAGCTTTTAACTAAATGAAGCAGTCAAGCTCAATTAAAAATACGGACTCGCAACGGACCAAAACACTAAACTTTTACCAAGAGTAAACACAACCAGACTAGACCGCCATCTCTCTCGCAAAACAAACGCATAGTGATGACGTCGTCTTTGTGCGCGCGTTTGCCTTGTTGCCACAGCAACAGACCAGCTGTCAGTCCTGGAGAAAGGTCGAAAATAATGGAGTGGGTCTGTTTTAAATTGCCATGGCGTTTACCCGGAACCCCGTTTATGTGTGCACGTATTAAAATCTCAATGAAATATCAATTAAAGCAAATTTCCATTAATATCAAATCTTCTAATGAAATAGAAACCTTTGACCAGCGAACTGATAATATTTGGTATTGCAAGCAGGCCTGAGATGTTAATGATTATCCCCATGCTGGCCTTATATCTTATCTCAGCTGTTTCATTTAGCATTGAGTCTTCAAAAGGCAGCAGCTCAGAGGCAATGTTCACTTGCCAGCACAACGGGAGTTATTTCCACCCCACTATGGACATTTACTACTTATAGCCTCCAGTTAAAAGTCAGATAATCATGGCTATTTTTCAGGTCTCTAGGTTCCTGTGGTCACTGGGTGCAGTTTTAGTGATTTTACCCCACTTAAATATCGGATTATTGTCTGACTACAAGATCTGCGGAGACTCTGAGTGTCAAAGTAAGTCCAAAATCTACTGATAGCTCCTTAAATTAATGACGATAATGATGGTCACCTCACAACTGTGTTCTATTGCTGTGGTGTGTGTAGGCCTCCTAAGCAGAGTGCAGGCTATAAGGGACCACCGTGGTAAGGACTGTCGTTTCCTGAGCTTCAGGCAAGGAGACACAATCTTTGTTTACCACAAATTGACTGGAAAGAGGAATGACCTGTGGGCAGGCAGTGTATGTGTCATATTTCGATCTTTTTTTCCCTTTCTGTACTTTCCTAAATCTTCATTCATGTCAGGTTCTCACTTAGAGACAGGCAGAAGGAAAACCTAAGCCTCTGACCCCTGCACTGTAGTACTGTGAGGTTTGGGGCAGTGTGCTGCCAGGGTGTTTCCCTAGGATGAAAGGGCAACCTCAAATTAATCAGTACAAACTTGTGTGATGGCCTTTATCCTTTGATTGATGGTATTGGTCTTTTCCAGAATAACAGTGCCCCCATTCTCTGTGCAAAGGAAGAATGAATTATTTGATTATTATAAAAGATTATGTTTGCAGTCATCACCAATGCCTAAACAACAAATGACAGAGAATATTTTTAAAGAATGATCTATTATGACAAATGTTGAGATTTCTGGGTTTCTTCAAGGTAGAAAGAAGAAAAATGCTGACAGCTCCTTTGTTTCCTTTTTTATTTCAGATTGACAAAGAGTTTGGATATTTTCCAAAGGATGCAGTGCAAGAAGAAGAGGTTCATACTACTGTGGAGAAAGTAGTGGAAACACAGGTAATTTCACCATTCATATGTAAACAAACTTTAAGTATTAAAAAGTATTGTCAGTATTATTATTATTTCTAATTTTTTTTTTCCTAGTTTCCTTTCTTAAGAATTACATTTTTGCCCTTTTTCTGCAGAAATCTGATTTCTTCTGCATGAATGAGTTTGGCTCAACTTATCTGGATATGGATGATGATGATGATTATATTGATCAGAAAATCCAAATCCCGGAGCCAGAAACCACACAAAAAATTACCCAAAGCACTGATGACACGAACGCTGAAAGCCACTTAACAACCTCAGACTCCCCAGTTTCTGCACAGGAAGAAGAAGAACAAGAAGAAGAGGATCAGAATAAAAATGTTGGTGGTTCCGGAGCTGGGTTTCAAGAGGAGACACATGAGATTCCTGTGGTTCCTAATCAACAAGGTGGGTCTCCCTCCTCTTCCTGGCTTGGTTCTTCAGTGACAGGATGGTTAGGTCTGGGTAAAGAGGACCAACCGGACAGTGTGGCTGAAGGGGAGATAGAAGATAAGAGGGAAGACACTCAGTCTGAAACGCTCACATCCTCTGTGACAGGATGGCTAGGCTTCGGAGGAAATGGAAAACCTGACAATGGCAAAGAAAGTGTGAAACTTAAAGAAGAAACTGCTGAATCGTTAACTTCAACCATGACTGGGTGGCTCAGCTTTGGAGGTGGAAGCAAAAGTGAGACAGAAGAGGAACAAGAAGCAGATGAAGACAAAGAACCCACAGAGAAATTCAGGAGCAGGAGGATGTCCTTGGACCTTGAAGGCAGCCAGTTGCAGGAAGAGGAGAAGAAAGAGATGGGGACTTTAGGTTGGCTGGGGAATGGGCTGTCAAGCACACTGGGGTTTGGTTTGACCAGTCAGGAGTCAGGACAGGAGAAGGAGGAGAAGGTGCAGGCTAATTCTTGGTTAAACATGGAGATTGAAGGTACTCTAGGTTTCAGGAAAGATAAAGTTGGAGATAATGAAAACAAAGAAAGTGAATCTAAGGAGGCAGAAATAATCACAACTTTAAAGCAACCAACAGGATCGCAGAATGTGGATCACAGTGAGTCAGAGGAGGAAATTATTAAGACAAGCAATAATTCAAAGGAGGTGGAAGAACTGTCAGAAGACCAAAATATCCCGTCTACAGAACCACTTAATGGTCAGAGTGTTGATAGCAACACAGATATTTCAGACAGTGGGATAAACAGCGATTTCCATGAAGAGGCTGAACCCACAGTTGATAACAAAGATATTTCTCCTGAAAGGAAGTTTGAAGAAGAATCTCAGGCTTTAGTAGAATCACCCCCCAGTAAAGATGACGATGACAATATAGAAAAAAGCAAAATAAATGAGGAGAGATCTGAAGAAAGGGAAGGTGAAGACGCTGTGATTCACAAACCAATTGGAAATGAACATATGGATAATAGCAGGGAGTCAGGAGAGGAAGAAAGAAAAACTCCAAGTGCTATCAGTCAGGATTCAACACCACCATCTGAAACACCATTTGAAAGCATTTTGGGCCCTGATCACGTTTCAGTGGATTTAAAGTCAAAGTCTTTGCTGGTCAAGGAAGATGAAAAAGACCAGATGGAGAACAAGAAATCAGAAAGCGTGGAGGAGGAAGGGGCAGAAATCACAAATCAAACTGATAACACAGAAGAACCCACAGAAATGTCTCTTAAAATCACCAGGGGTGACGATAATAAAGGAGAAGTCAGTAATAAGGATACAGATTTACCTGAAACTCAGACTGAGGAGCTGAACAGTGATGTAGAAGACAGTAGCACAGAGAGCCAGCCTCACTTACCGTCATCTATGGAGAAAAACGATCCAGTTCCAGCTGAGAATGAAAGTTTTACTCCTTGTAGTGCTGAAACAAATAATGACAATTCAGATACAATAGCTCTTTTTGATAATAACACAGAAGCAGAGACAGTTCATATGGAGTTAGAGCAGGAGGGAGAAACTCTGAGCTCACAGGAATTTGATTCACAGCATAACCCTGGTAGAAGCACTCAAACTATCCCAAAGGATAGAGGAACAAGTGCACCAACCACAGATCAGACCTCCGTGTCTCCAGTGATGGAGCATGTTAACAATGAAAGCAACAGTGATGCAGGCAAACTAAAGGAAATTGTTGAAGACAACATAAATGAGTCCCAGCAGGTTAAAACAGAGATAGAAGCATCAGGCACTAAAGAAGATGATTTAAATGAAAAAGACTTCAAGTCAGTGATCAGCTCTGAATTAGAGGCTGAAAAAGAGGAGGAGTCAAAGGATGGGGGGAATCAAGGGGTGATGAAGGTGGAGGATAACGAGGAACTGGAGGATTTAAAGGAGATAAAAGAGCAAAAGGGAGATGAGAAAGAGAGTAATGAGGCAGAAGTGGAGAGCATGCAGGTAGAGGTGGAAGACCTAAAGGAGGCTAACAAACAGTTGAAGACAGAGGAGGAAAAACACCCCAAGGTGGAGGAGTTAGTGGAAAAAGAGGAACTGGTGGGTCTAGAGGGAAAAGAGAAGAAAGAAGGTGAAGGGGAAAAGGTGAAAGAGCAAAAGGAAGATGAGGAAGAAAAGGAGACTAATA